CCAGAGAGGCGTACGCCTCACCAGGAATTGCGCAATTACGCCTCTGAGGCGCGCCTCAGTCCCAGTGAGGCGTACGCCTCTTAAGGACACAGAATTGAGTAGGTTATGAGGCGTTTTTTGAAGGAATGGCGCAAAGGCGCGCCTCTAATTGCGCAATTTTAAACAGAGACTCTAAGTGATTTTTAAAGGTCAAAATCAAATAAAAATAAAATCAAATTGGAGCTGAATTCAAATCAATTTGAACATGAAAATGAACCTGCAAAGACTCCAGAAAACCTTGAACCAAAAGTGAACATAAAATTGAACTCAAATTGAACCTTCGGCCTCATTTACTTGTTACGGGTCAACAAAAACTAAGTACAAGTGTTTCTTATTTTTTGTTTGCTATATGGAAGTATTTAGAAGGGTTTTATGATTTTGGTTGCTAGTTTATCAGTCTTAAATGATGCTAATGAAGTGGAGGAAAAGTTGTAAATAGTTTAGAATAGGTGTTTAAAAGGATCTATAAGTAACATAAAAAAATAAAGATAACTACATAATCTTATCAAAGAAAATATACACACTTGAAACCATCAAGGTACCAAACAAATGAAGAAAACTTCTCCAAAAAATTATTTCATTCCAAAATTGAAAATTACAATGCATATCAGCCTATATTTATAGGTATTACAAAACTAGCTTTTGGAAAAAAATTAAAGGGGTTAGGGGAAATTAAAGAGAGTTCCTCTATTCGATTTTTGCCATGCTGCCTATATCCCATATGATCCTCATTTCAGCATCTGTCCTGTTCTAGTTGCCCTAACTTTACTTTACATAAAAAATATATTGTAATATTAAATAATATTTTTTATCTAAAGCCTAAATTCTCTCTTGATCCCTCGTCCTCTCTCCTCTCCATCTCTCCTCTCCATCTCTCACACACTCTCAAACCTAAAACTCCCACATAACCTCGTCACACTCGATAGCAGCTACCACTCCCTCCCTCTCCCTCAATATTTCTCTTTCAATCCTTTCTATTTCTCCATTATTCCATATCCATCTACTTTCTCCCTCTAAAAAAAGAAAGAGTAAGCTTTCCAAAAAAATGAAAGGAGAAATATATATATATAGTAATTTGTGCTTTCATTTTCATTGAAATCTCATCGTCAAAAATTTTCTTCCTCGCACTTGCAAAGGTAAAAATGCAAGAAAATAATTGCAAGAATTTTAGAATTCATATGCATTGGAACAAATATATATATATAGTAATTTGTGCTTTCATTTTCATTGAAATCTCATCGCCAAAAATTTTGTTCCTCGCACTTGCAAAGGTAAAAATGCAAGAAAATAATTGCAAGAATTTTATAATTCATATGCATTGGAACAAATTTAAGTATCATGTGTATTGTTCCAATATGACGGAAAAAGTCATAAATAAGAACTCGTGCATGCTGTTCCAACACCACGGAAAAATCTTCTGTATTTTATTGTGCAGTTAACAAAGGTCTATGAATATCCAAAATATCTACCATGTGTGTTGCTCCAACACGACGAGGATAATGCAAAACTACATACTCATGCTTGTTGTTCCAATCCAGCTAGGAAATCCATATCTAATTTTGTGTAAAGTATTGAAGGCCTAGCATTTTTTTTTTTAAGCGTAGTGGGTATGAAAACCCCGAGCTGTTCTGTCCTAGATATCAATCATGTACGCTTTTTTAAGTATTATGGAAAGGCCAAACACTCCTCAGATATGCCATATATGCAGAAGAGACATCGTAGAATTGCCAAAATTTCTAGTAAACAAACTTGAAATGAACAAACCTAAAATGACCTTCTGAACACAATAACACAACTAAAATTACAAAATAATATTACATGGACACTCAAAATGATGTACAAGTCGTATTGAAAGAACTGCAAGAATCAAAACTGAATAGAAAATTGGTCATAAATGGACAACAGAGGAATCGGCAACTCACCAACAAGCATAAGCATAACTTCCAATGGACTATCCAGAACACAAAAAAAAAATATGAATAACAACTACATAGGAAAATTATGACCAAATGAGGGTTTTTTTTTAAGGCAAAAGAACAATCCCTAAAGCCAACTAAATACAAGCAAACAAAAATATGTTCAACACACAAAAAAGTTAGAATTAGAAAACAAGTGCCAACAAATTTACAACACTTATTTACAAGCAACCAAAAGGCATTCTTTGATTCAAAAATGAAAATGATGCATGCAGTCCAAATTAAAAAATATTCACATATATGATCAAAATTTGGGTAATTTTTCAAATCATGTGCATGCATATGATACTGCTGTCAGACTCAAACACAATATCTCCAAGAGCGCGCAAATGCAATGTGCAATACACCGGAATACATACAAGAACACCATGTAAGGAATCAAAAACATGTAAATGCAATAAAGAGTAAAAAGTTCTATTCTAATTTTAACCAAGTCTTTCATAGAACTACTTTTTCATGAGCAATATTAAATGCATTTCTTCTGTTGATCTAATTAATCATAATCACCGTTACTTATTCATTTAATCCTAAGTACTTAGCACTTCTTCAAGTCATTCAACTGCCAGTAAAGAGTTAATAAAAGTGCAGTATCAACATATAAGACAGAACATAACTACGCAAACTTGTAGAGCATTTTCCATCATATTTCCTTAAAATCTGCTCTCCTAGGGTTTCAAATCCAGCCTATAAGACTTCTTCCAAACATTAAAATTAGTAAGTTTTTATATTCCTATATATTACAAGCAGAAATGAAATGCTAAAAGAAATAACAATGTGAACACTGAAAAGAAAGATAAAACATTTAAAACAAATGTGGTTTTAAAAAAAATTAGCAATAGTAGCAAGCCTATTTTCAAAGTATCAGGAAGAACTCATGGTTACCTGCATTGGAACTTCAAGTTTCAACCTTAAGATGGAGCGCTCTTTGCCTTCCTCGCCTTCTTCTACTAGCTATTTAATTGGGAATTTAAACAAGATGTCAGAACAATAAGAATTATTACGGTAAACATAAAAAAGCAGAATTGAAACGATTTTCTTTGGTAGCAGCAGTGTAGTCGATCCGGAGAAGTTAAATTATTTCTCATGTTATCCATCTATTGTCAAACTTTAGTTGTTCCATTAAACAAAATTCAATCGCAAAAGAGTTATTCAATATGCTTTGAATTAGTCATAAAATAAATTTGTAGTCTAAAAGTCCCGTCAGCTTCTAAGTTAAATTTGAAACTAAACTAGTAAAACAACTACTAATTTGCTAGGTCATTCATATAAGGCTTTAGAGATGCCTATTAACTGTCTAATAAAGTAGTTCATTGTTGACTTATCTGCTTAAATGAAGCATATGCATAATAAATCCTTTAGCTAGACAAAAAAAGACCAGTGTTATGAAAAGTGACCAGGCAGAAGGATAAGATAGCGCATTACTAGATAGGGCTAGTTCCAAATTCCAACATGAAGATTATCATTATAAGGAGTGTATCAATAGGTGAGGTTCGTTTTACCGGCCATCTCGTTTATTCTTGTTTAATTATTTGCAGCCGCACTACTAGGAACTTGCTAGGAGCTTTATGTTATTGGGCATTGGTTTGAGTTGAGTTGAGTTGGGTTGAGTTTTGTTCTTAGTGTTTGGTTTGGAATTTTGTAGTTTTGGAGTTTGAGTTTGGGTCAGTTGGACCGTTGTACTCCAGATGATTTTAGTGTAACCATTTATATTTAATTAATTAAAAAAAGTATTCATCATTTTTTAAAATTAATTAATTAATCAATTAATTAAAAGATATTTTAAATTGATTAATCAATTAATTAATTGATTAACTAATTGAGAGAAAATTAAAATAATTTTTTTTATTTAACCAGTCAGGTGGATGAGTGGCTTTACCCTTAGAGAGAGCATATGAAATGAGCATATACGTGAAAAGGTTGGAGTACAGCCAGTGGAAGATAGGATTAGAGAGAGTCGCCTTAGATAGTTTGGTCACATAAATGGCAGCCTTCCGATGACCCGATTAGGAAAGTAGAGGTATTGGATTTAACTTTTGTTAAGAAATGTAGAGGTAGATCTAAAAAGACTTGGTTAGAAAATATTAGAAATGATCTTTTTTATTAGATTTAAACGAGAATATGACTTTTAACAGGACACAATGGACAAAAATGATTCATATAATCGACCCCACGTAGTGGGACAAAGATTTGATGTTGTTGTTGTTGTTGTTGCTCCATTAAATTAATAGAAATTGAATTTTGGATCAATTTCTATTATTTAATTTAAAAAATTATTTTTATTTACTTATTCTCAATTTGCTCTCCAAAAGCTCTCTTTTTCTTTCTTTTTTTTAGAAAAATCCGACTACTCACCTCCCTGTGGGCAAATTATTAGGTCCGGTCACAGGACGTAGAGATACGTCCGGACACCAATAAAATATTATTTTAAGTCAAGCGCGTCAAAAGCGCAGGTAAAGCATAGGCAAACCGCAGTCAAAGCGCACCTAAAGCGTAGGTAAAGCGCAGTTAAAGCACAGGTAAAGCGCAGTCAAAGCACACCTAAAGCACAGTCAAAAAGCACAGTCAAAGCGCACTTCACGTGGCAAGTTTTAATTGGATGTCTGAACCTATTTTTATGTCCGATGACCGGACCTAATAATTTGCCCTCCCTGTGAGAGGAGGTTGGGAGTCACTTGCCTTTGGTTCTTCTCATATGGATCAAAGATACAATGGTGCTAGGTCTTCCGATTAAAATCATGTCTAGATCAAAGATACGATGACGCGGGATCTTGATATTGGCGGTACCTATTTCTTAATATTTTATTTATTTATTTATATATTTTAGTATTTTATTTTATTACATAAAGCTTTTTTTAAATTCCAATAACCTCCCTGTGTCGCCTCCCCGCAAAGGGAGGTTGGGACAACACTTGTTGTTGATTCTTCTTGCTCAGATCAAAGATACGACTGTGCGAGGTCTTCAAATTACAAATCATCCCACCAAGATCAAAGATACAACCGCACAGGGTCTTCAAGTTAAAAATGATCCTGCCCGGATAAAAGATCAACGGCATGAGATCTTAGAAATCAGCAAATACCTTTTTATTTTTTGTAAAAATAATTTTTTTTTAATTATACAGCAATCTATTTTAATTATTTATCCCAATGCAGTAAGTTGGAATGGTCATGCATGCACAAGGCAGCTTAAACTGCTATTATGAAGTAGATCGTATGAAAACTAAGTGGTGTTTCACTTTGAGTGATAGTCCCGAAGAATTGAGGCAGATCACGGGAGTACTCACGGATCAAAACACTGTACTTGTGAATTGAAGGGGATGAAGGCACGTGCAAATTTATGCAGGTTGATGTATGCAGGCAGATCATGGCATTTATCGGCATTTACCAAGGTTGACATTTCATTCTTCTTTGGAATGGTTAGTTAAAAAATACAAAATCCAAAATAGAAACACTGGGTCATTCTAAGAATTCTCAAGTACATGAAAAAACTTCCTAAAAAAGGGTTACTATATACTAAAATTGAGCAACCAAATATTAAAACTTTCTCAGATGCCGATTAAGTGGAGCAATTGAAAACAGGAAGTCAACCAATATTGTATTTTTGTTTATGGTAATCTAGTAATCTAAAAAAAGTAAGAGACAAATTATTGTGAATACATCAAATGTTGAATTTGAGTGCATAACTATAGCTCACTCTACATGAGAAACAATGCAGTTAGAAACTCTTTTGGAAGAGCTCATTTTTCTCATTACTCAACCCATGAACATTATATTGTAACAATCAAATAGTTATTTAAATTGCCAGAATTAATATTTTATATAAACAAACATGTTGAAGTTGTTTATCATTTCATACAAAATTTTATTTTTTTCAGGAAAATTGTTACTCTTGTTTTTTCCCGGAAAAATTGTTGCTCATGTTTTCATTTCAGAATAAGAGGATATCTTACCAAAGCTTAAGGTCACCTATAGCTTGAGGGTGAGTTGGTGTATGACAGTATTAGGTAGGTCTCTAGCATTGGGAGTGTTATATTAGCGAGAAATAATTTTATCTCCTAATAATTGAGGATATTCTTCTTTTTTTGGTTTCCTTTATGTATTCTTTTGTATGCCAATATATAGGCTCCCAAAGTCAATCAACAATACAATAAAGAGATTTTCCTCATGCACATGACAATGTTAAACAGCATAACTTAAAGCATGAAAGAATAAACAAAAAACAAACACAGCTTAACATTAAAATATAGTAGTTAAATGCAGAAGATTAGCATTACAAATCAAAATAAAGCAACTTAACAAAAGTTCTCTAAAAAAAAGTTTTAAAATAAAATAACTTACCTGAGGAACAATGCGCTTCAAAGTGCCAAATTTTCCTACAAAAGCATCCAAAATGCGGCCCTGGAGATGAGGCAATATCCGAATGAACATCTTTATTAATTGATGTTTGGAGCTGGGAACCACAAATGGGATATGGTACATAAACACGATCCAAAAATAATGAACCTTTAGTAGCCATACCAGTAGAACACGAGCATCATCCATAGTTTGTTGGTCAACGCCTTTCTCATATATAGGCTCCACCTAAGGAAAACAACCATCATATTTTCAAGTAAAAACACCTGAATGCAAGAAAAAATATCGTAGAAGTAATTCTTTTCATAATGTAGGTCCCTAATAATGCGGTAGTTTATCAATGTATCTATTCAAATAAATATGGATGCAGAAACAGTACAAAAAACATTGCAAAAATACAGACAAATATTTAAAATGACAAATACTAGCAAAATGATAAATGGAATCTGGCACACAGCAGAAGACAAGACCCTAATATCAACAACTACACAAAACTGAAGAAGTTGCCACCATAAAATGAATTTTACGTAAATGCAAATATTTTCAGCTTGAATACAATTCCTCGGTATGAACAGAGCTAAGCCTTACCAGATTCAACATCAGACGAGCACAGGTTGTATGTACAACAATGGTCAAGGATGAATCGTGCATGTTCCTTGAGAACAAGTAGATAATACAGGACAACTGCATGAGACATGAAAGTGCAAAAAGTTATGAAACTCGCACGTAGTGTGCAGTAACAAATAATATTATGGCAAGACCAGGCCATAAGTAAAATTTTAAACAAAAGAAAGGCAGAAACAGGAACAGGATGAAGTTTTTCAAATTTGTTATCAAACAACCGAAATTTAAAAGTGACCTTAACAGGCATAAAAAACATTCTGTAAATCAAATATCCAAATGACATATGCAAAATAAAGAAATTAAAAATACGGTCAATACGAAACTATGAGCCAGACTAGAATATGATGCACAATACATTGTTTTGATACCATGAGAACATTTACTTTGTGAACCGGTATTGTAGGTTCAGTTGTAGTAAAATTCATTATCAATAACATGACATACTTCAAGCATCATAAAGCATCCCAAAATGCAAAAATGATAACGTATCGTCCACTGAGTTACTATGCAAATCAGGACTTCAGATCCACCAAAAAATTCAACACCAGCAATGATACAAATATTTTCAGCTTGGATACAGTCATATATATAAATACTAGCATGAGAGTAATGCTTGAAACACAAACCATGATGCTGAAAGCACCCTCTTTAAAAATGTTATTTGGCAAATTATGACGTCCTTCAAATTCGATGAATAAATTAATGTCCTAAATTAGTTCCGATACAAACTTAAGATAGGAAATTCAACTGAGATGAAAATCAAGGATTTACTTGTATAGGACAACAAATATACTTAGAAGAGGAAAGTGATGAGTATCCAATGGCATTGCCCCTAGGTAATATGAACATGAATATCATGCCAAGAAGGAATATAGGAGAAACAAACTTATTGACGGTTTAGGTGCAATCACTTGATCAATCATGAACACAAATTGCATGTTTTTATACTATTTTAACCAAATGATCATGAATTGCATGGTATAAAGGATCATCTGAAGTTTTTTTGCTTTAATTGCAGCTTTCCCCACAAATTTAAAATCCTGAAGTCTCCTGTCAACCAGGATTAAACACCAATTTAAACTTCCCAGTTGCCTCTAAAGAAAACCTCTCCAGGATGTAGACCCTTCATTACATCATCAGCATACGGACGATGAAAATTTATCAATGTGGCCTCAATAAATACCTAGGATCCCTATTGAAGCCCATAAGTCCCATGATGAATGCAAGTACGAATAAGGCCATCACAAAAAAGGTGAACGTAGTAGCATAGAAATAATATGGATTATACAAGTTATGAGCAAGAATTTACATTAAATGAACAAATTTTGTTATCTACATTTAACTGAAATTGCATATTTACTGTAAACTCTTTGAGCACTGGGCCTCCAAAAAAAAATCTCTAAATATACCCAAAGGATTATGGGATTGAGCAATTGAGCTCCGAATCTTCACATACTGAACATCGTTTCTGTTTTTTTAATTAACCACAAAGAGTTTAAATAGACTTAGGTATGAATGTTCATACAATTTCAAACGATTTCTGAAGTTGATGAATTGGATATCTTCTCCCACATTCACATTCCTTCAAGTAAGGAGATACTATAAATGAGTATTCATTCCACTGCTTGCATATACTATTTGTGCATTTTTTCACTTTTTTTTTAACCAAATATATTGAAAAAGAAAAAAAAAAGGATACACGTAGAGAAACAGGCTTGTGGGAGGAAAGACTTGCACTTCCCAAAGACAAAAAGGGAAGGGGTACAACTAGAAAAGCACCCAAAACCAAGCCGCAGACAAAAAAAAATAAAGAAACCCCTCAAGTGATAATGAGGACATCTTCATTGGTTTGTATTATGCAACAAAACTCAATACAAACCAATGAAAAAAGGTCAATCATTAAGAACTTGAGGGGACCAAGTTCCCGCCTATGAAATCTGTTGAAGTCTTCTTCCTCTTCTTAGGGGAGATGGCCAAAGCACTGAGAGGCCCAAGTCAGAGGAGTTCTCTATCAAATCGAGACTTGGAGACTTTTGGTGGTTGCTTGAGAAAGTTCACAATCCTATTAGAAGTTTCTTTCATTTACTGTAACTTATCGGCCGAGAATTGGATAGGAGGTTCGGCTAGAGAACGAGTGCCTTGTTCTTTAGGAGGCCGTGGTTTACCTTTCCTTCTCCGGGCGACAAGGTTCCAAGCTCCAAGGGAGGAGTCATCCTTTTCCTCACTTAGAATGGGTTCTTCAACAACTTTATTCTTCGTCTCAAGAGGAAAAACGGGTGCGTGGGGGACATCCTCTGATTTGGCATACACCTTGGTTGGCGGCGACGACTGCAGTGGGGAATGAGGCCCACGGGTTTGAGCCTTAGATAGACAAGCTCCTTTGGCATGACCAATGTAACCACAATCGAAGCAAAAAATTGTAAGCCCTTCATATTCGACTATTTGAAAAAATTGTCCTTGGAGCCCATTGATCCATACCCCACCTTGAAGCTTTTGAGAGAGATCAATCCTAACACAAATTCTTGCATAAGATGATCTTCCCCAAGTACTCGTATGTGAGTCAATCCACAGAGGTTCCCCAAGCATATTGGCAAGTCGAGTCATGTTATTTGTATCCCAATACATGAGAGGAAGCCGTGGCAAACGAATCTAAATGGGTGAATGGAGACCTTGAAGGGAGTTAGGAGAGAAGTTGGGAGTCCATCTGTCCATTCCAATGATGTTGCCGGCAATAATCCAAGGCCCACTCATTAAAACTGCATTCCTAACATCAATGCTTTGGAAAATGCAAATGAAAGAATTTGGCGCGATGGTAATAATTTGGAAGTCTCCAAAGTGGTACCAACGTCGTTTGAGTTCACTGAGAAGATAAGGGAAGGCGTTTGCCAAGATGCTTAGCCACAAGCGCTCGATCAAGCATGGCCAAATTAGCTTAAACGGCATTCCTCTCTGGTTCAATGGAAACACCATCCGAGGCAATAAATGTCTCTCGACTCATCTTGTCTAAAGGAACAAATTGAAGTTTGTTCCAAGCAAAAGGACCACGGGATAAGCCTCCAGCATCCGTAGAATGGGCCTGTACGGGCTGTTTTGGAAAAAAATCAGATCCCTAGGCTCTTGGGGCATTTCCGCAAACATCTTATGGGCGCGAACCTGTATCAAAGGGCTAAGAAGATGATGGATAATGGGAAATATCACACCTAGGGCTAGGAGAAACCATTCCACACATGACTGCACTCGAGCTACAAACCAAACTATCAAACCCCTCTGTATTAGGAGAAGAATCATCACACGGGATTGAAGTGACAAAAGGGTGCACTTGGGAGGAAGCAGGCTGTATGCGATCAAGCTACACAGGAGGCATAATCTCTAACGGCGGCTCAGGGTTTTGGGCGGACACAGGAGTTTCCGACAAGTGTAGGTCGTCCTCCATGTCAGTATTAGAGTCAAAAAGGCCTTCCGACTCTTCCATCTCATTCTCCGATCCATCCTCTATGTCTGATTCATTCTTGCTGGAGGCATCAGACTCTTGCGAACAATCCAACCGCTCAGGTTGGATGGTAACGCCAAGCTGTTCAGGGCTAGCACGACTAATAGGAGGTGCTGACTTCCCGAAAGGAGAAGAGATCCTGCCACTTCCCACATCAGGTGTTGGACTTAGCGGGTACGGCTGCTGCACCGACTGGCAGTCATCCTCCTTGCCCCGCCGGATGATGGCCTGAGTTCTCGCAACAACCTCATTCCAAGAGTCCCTAGTAACTGTGTCCCGCACCTTCGAAGAAGGGTTGGAGCTGCTCTCCGGCTTAGGCACCGGGGTGTGCTTGGAATACGACGCCTCCGCCTCGCCGTCGGGGGCAACCAAATGCCAGTAGTTACATTGTTGTCGGTTTCCTTGCCAGCCGCCTCCCCTACCACCATTTGGAGGAGGTGACCTAATGCCACCTCCTCTAGCCATCCAAGAGCCTCTCTCTCTCTCTAAAACACTCTAGAGAGAGAAAGAAAAAGGGGGAGATATATTATTTGTGCATTACTTTCACTGATAATATTCAACAATCAGTTCAAGGTTTCATTTGACATTGTGATCACATTTTCTCTCAATTCAACCGGTTTAATATCGTGTTAAAGGAAAATCTAATATCAATGATGAGAAGTCCAAAATTGTCTATGCATTTTTTTTAACTCTTCAAAATTAATCCCATCGTTAGAGTTGTTGTGTTAATATATGTTGCACCAATACGGATACGGCGATATGGATACGACACGATACGGATACGGGACACGCCAATCCTTAAAAATACAGGATACGGATACGGCGCGGATACGGCATTATAATATATAAATAATACATAAAAATTAAGAAATTAATCAAAGTGTAATATTTGAAATGACAAAGAAATTGAAATAAAAGTAAGCATTAAATATTTAAATGTCTAGTACATCAACAAAAACAAGAAGATAAATTGTCCATCACATGAAATTTCAACTATTCAATAGAAGGAATGATAGGATTAGCTTCTTCAGTGGTTTGTCTTTGAGTTTCTATATCATCTTCAATAAATATCATAGCTTCTAATTCAGGCTCATCAAGTGAAAGGTTAGCAATTTCTAATATTCCCATATCCTCAAGAGATTCAAATCCATCTC